CATTAATCCATGCATTTGTGTCCTCTGGTCTAGATTACTGTAATGTACTCTACTGCCTTCAGACAGTACAAAATGCAACAGCCAGACTATTGACCAACTAAACTCGATTATGTCTCATAACACCAGTTCTCCATTCCCTGCATTGGCTTCCATTTAAATGGTGAACATATTTTTAAATTGGCCTAGTGACCTTCAAAACCTTAAATAATCAAGGCTCACAATACCTGAAAAAACACCTGACACTTTATATGTCATCTAGCTCCCTTTGGCCAACCAAGGAATCCGTCCTGTCAGTGTCTAGAAAAAAAACAACTCAGGTTCCAGGGCATTCAGCCACGCTGCCCCCACATTCTGGAACTCTTTACCTTGCTCATGTAGAAGCTTACTTACCTTGATGTATAAACTTATTTGAGCAGGGTCCTCATCAACTTAGTGTTCCTTTAACATTTTGTACTTGTCTCATTTATAGTTAAAGGCCCCCCTTTATAATATATGGCAATATATAAATGCCAATAATAATAATAATAATGTGTCTTAATTTCATTCTTAAATGGACATGCAATACACCGGGTCCTTTAAGCTATAATATATATCCTCTAAGTTTTCAGGATGCATAGATAAACTCAAGAGTACAAAAATAAATTAATAATAAAGTCAATAGTTTGCTTTTTCTACTTAAAAAATAGAAGCCAGAGTCAGAGTTGTGACATAGCATGTGCTATCTGAAGTAGAAAAATCATTAGATGAATAGATGATGCCCTCCTCAGGGAAAATACACTTATTATTTAAAAACTAGTTTCCTTTCACACCTACAGCAATCTGTAAAAATATATTTTTAAAAAAAAAAAAAGTATAAGAAACTCAGGCACATTAATTCACTTTCAAAATGGCTGTTGCTTCAGGTATTTTTCTGTTTAAGAAGTTTATAATCTGTACCATGTAAAGTTTAACACACTAAAAGGAATGCAGAATGCGCCAGATATACACACTATCTAGTCCAGTGTGTATATCTGGCGCATTCTAGAAAACTAGTTTTTAAATAATAAGTGTATTTTCCCTGAGGAGGGCCAGTGTGTATATCTGGCGCATTCTGCAATATGCATGGCTATCAGGCAAGTCATGACCCTTCTCTGGCTAAGCAAGATCGCAACAGGCTGACAGCATGAAGATCTAGGCATACAAGGGGGTTTAAAATTGCTCATTTATATAATATTGTCAATATTGAGTTTTATCATGTGAATTTCTTGATTATGAAGGATTTATAGATTTGTAGTTGACTGGGATTTAGTGCAACTAGCATTACCAGTGCAGATTCTGATACTTTATAGAAGTGGGATAACAGTGTGTTCTATACCTTATATTTTATTATATTCTTTTTTCTATAGCCGACGAGAGTTTTTACTAAAGTATTCCTGTTAGTTCAAAGTTCTTTCTAAAAATAGTCGCATTCAGTTGTCATTTCTAAGATTGTCCTGGCTTTAATATCCATGTCCTTTCCAGAAAAAATGTGGAAATTAGAGGACAACTGACTCTCATGTGTTAGCTATAGGATGGAGACTCATAGGAGGAGAAAACGGCTTCATGACCCTGAAGATGTCTATCAAATGGCCTGCTAGACTCAAGTCTTTGGGTTAAAGCGGTGTTTCCCAACCTGGATTGGGAATTTCAGAATTCTATTTCTATGAGCATATTGACAAAACCTGGACCATTAAAATGCCTTGAGAATTACAATGAGAACTGGTCTATGGTGGGAAAGAGAGGGAATTTTACTTCACACTATGCACTACTGGGTCTCACTACCAAATGGGCACCTGTATTGTGTGCCAGAAGTCTGACATGACTGACACTCCAAATCCATCAAGAAAAGTAGAACAAATATACGAGTAGTTCCATGGCTTCCCAGTTCTTAGTGAGTGTGATAATTAAGCACTTCACTCAAGTCACCTCTCTCTCTCTTCTCTCTGTCCTGCCTTGTACTGTGTCTCATTTGCACTGTGTGGAGAGCATTGGGCACTGCCACAGATTATTTAATCAGAGGTTTTATTTCTCTCTCAATATTACAGGGGGCTTCGGGCTAACAATGAAATGTGCCAAAACAAGACTCTGGGCTTTCCAGCATTCCACTCAGGGCTCCAGACTTGGTCAGCCACACTAGAAACACCCCTAAACTCCCCTATGATTTATCAAGGCAATATTTCTCTGTGTGAGTACAATATTGCAATTACAATTTGATCATTGCTGTAATTATGTCATGTCATTATAGTTTTCATTTAGTATCTCATAGCTACCATACAGAAGCCAGGCACTCGGAGGTAAGTACAGGTACAGTATGTTCTATACTTTCTTCTGTTTCACTCCTCACCCCAGCAAATACTTCAATAAGATTCACTGGGGAGAGGGATTGAGAAACCCTCACATTCAGAGAAATCGTAGTTCCTATTTAATAAAGAGATGTTGAACAAAAAAAATTAAACTTGTTTTATGTAAGCTAGGCAATCTGGAGACCTTCAGCCATGCACTCTGGCCAATGCCTGTAATTTACCAGATTGGCTGACACTAATCTCAGGGCAGCACTGGTACCTACATTAGCTTGCCTTAGATTAATCTGAGTAACTCTCCTTGGCAGCAGCTGCCAATAATTCAGCCCATTTCCTGTTAAAGATAAGTAAGAACAGATGCCAGGGAGACAGAGCTTCTCTCCCAGCATATCACAAGGGGCTGAAGTCAGGAGAACAATCCCATGTCATTAAAGGAATTAGAGGACCACTCTAACCAAAACTATGTTTTGGTTGGAGTAACCCAAGGTGACCTGCCTCCTCAGGTCAGATGGAAAGAAAGGAAAAACACATTTTTTATCCAGTGCAGAGGCCAAGTTCTCGCTGCAACCCGATCCTCCTCCATTAATGTCACTGTCCCTTACTGTAGTTGTAGGACTTCCCAGAAAACTAGTAGAAAAGAGGACTTGGGCAACACATGGTAGCTGCTTTTGGTTGTTTTTTGACGGCATGACGACAGACTCCTATAATGCACAGATTTAACCTTAGCCAACCCAGAATGCTCGTTGCATGCTTGCTAATGATGCTGCCAGACATGGAGTTACACCTCCAGCAGCAATGTGCTATATGTTAGTATGTACTGCTTTTCAAACTGAAACACATGCAGACTCCAAGCACCATGACCACTTCAAGTCACTGAAGTGGTCAGGGTGCCTGGAGTAACCCTTTAAGGACAGCAGCCTCAAATAGCAGCTGTGCCCAAAAATGTAATAAATCGATGTTTCAGCTCCTCTAGGGAGCTTTCATCAGGACACATGAAAGCTTCCTAGAGGAGCTGAAACGTCGATTTATTCTTCGCAATAAACAAAGATTTAAACATATGGAAATCCTTGAGTGCCGTTTTTTTCCTTCTCTTATGGTTCAGCCACCAGAGCACCAGGTATCTTTTGTGTTGTTATAGTTGGAGTGCAGGGGTTTTCTATATTTTTTATATATATATATATATATATATATATATATATATATATATATATATAGATAGATAGATATATGTATATATATATAGATAGATAGATATATGTATATATATATATATATATATAGTAGTTTCCTTTTTCAATTTTTATTTTTATTTTAAACAAAAGCAGGCAAAAACCAATAGGAATTATTCTCTTTGAGACTATTTAGTTCTTGGAATTATAAAACTTGTGGAGTGATTCTGAATGATGAATGCAGAACAACAGACATGCAGAGCATAAAACAAGTAGTGTACCTTGGCTCTGTGCTTTGACACCTTAACAACAGAGAAAATATACCATCATTATTCCAGGCAGGATTTTTTAATAGTATTTTAAAACAGTAAGAATGTCAAGACGCTCCTGTCACTCACTATCTTGCATACATATGATGCATTAGTAACTGGAGTAAAATGAGGAAACCATGGGTGGTAATTTAATGCATCCCCAAACCCCTGTATTAGCGACACGTTAAAAGACTAAACATTAATCTCTGCCTTGCTTGTAAAACATTGATAGATAATTGTTGGCAGGAGTCCAACCAAATGAAACCATCTGTACCTTCAATCAACGTTTACCTCTCTAAAGAGAAGAGATCCGTCTTCAAGTACATTTAAAAAATACACACATCACAAGTAAACTCTCTAATATGAACACAGCAATTTAAATAATTTATATATTGCCCAGTACTGCCCATATCCTTGTTTCATAAGTCACATCTTCTACGATGGGGTTTAATTAAATTAACATTAAATAAATTAGACATGACAAATCTAGCACTTTATATTTTCCTTTACTGTATTTTTCTAGAATACAATACTATACAATCACAATATCAGAGAGTATTTCTAAGGGGGATATGATGCTCTGGCTTTTTGGTTATATTTGGTATTTAGAGTAAGACATTGCAAATTTTCGTGTATTCTCTCTTATTTGGAGAACAAATCATGCAGTGTGTTCAGTTTATGGTTGCCAATGCCAGATTTATAGTAACAAGAGTAGAAAAATAAGGCAAGTGAGACCAACTATTAATAATCTCTATTATATATAGAGCACATAAGTAAATAAATGTAATCAAATACAATCAATCTTTAGGTTTAAAGCATCATTTGGAAAGTGCATTGAATTTGTTTCCTTTTTGCATTATTTTCTTCATGTTTAACGGACATGACATGTGACGTGCTTTTACAACATCCAGAACTAGTTGCACCGTACTCTAAATTTCTCCTGATCAGATGCCACCGTAGGACCATGACTTTATGCCACCATAGTGTAAAAACCTCCAGAAAAACTTTTATCAATAAGATATGTGCTTATGGGGGGCGGGGCCGGACCGCCATGCTGACCGGTCGCATGGCGGAGAGGCTCCGGAGGAACTGGGCCGTTAAGCCACAATAAGCAGATAATCTCACCTGAACGGAGCCTGAAAATACCCACCCAGCTGTGGGAGAGGTTGCAGATCCCCGAGATCGGGAGTTTCGGACCCCCCATGGGAAGCACGAGACTTCGGGGGCTGCAACCTACCCTGGAGGGAGCGGAGTGGACGGCCGCTCCCCTGTCTCCCCACCACACTGCCACACGCTATAAGGATGGGGGCTCGCCGGTCCTGTTCCCCCCCCTCTGGGCCGAGGGGGTCATCCCGGTCCCCATTGGGACGAAATCGAGCCGACTAAAGAGACGACTAAAGGGTGCTGAGTACCCAGGTCCCACAAGCAAAGATTGCGGTGGCTCAGATCACCTAACCAAACACACCGGCAAATTAGAAACAAGCCGCTGACCTAACTAAAGGGCGAAGCGGGCACGCAGTGAACCCCGGCTGGAGAGCGGAAGGGACCAAGAGAACCACCGGACCCTCTGCCCGCAACACGCGCCTCCCTGGCTGAAATATGCAATACTCACCTAAGATGGCGGCTTGTCAAGACCTCAAGCAACAACCACCATGCAGCACAGCAGCAATCTTACCGGAGCCCAACTTTTCCTGAGGCAATCGACACTGAAAGAGATTGGGACTCTCAGAGCCTCCTAAACAGCGGCCAAAAGAATCCAGCTACGTTAGAGCCTAGAGCTGAAATATATTACCTATGTTTTTCTTTTTGTTTCTTCTTCATGTTGCATAACGTCCATGCCATGTATAGCCTATTCCTGTTTAAGCATAATTAGCGACTACTGTTTCTTTTAAATACTCATAAAGAGAGGATTGTGTAGTCTCGCGGCTTTGGACAGCATGTTCACCTAGTAACAAACTACTAAGTAATAATCTCTACCCAGTGGCACTGCTAGTTAGGTGTGTTTGGGCATTGGGAGATAGATTGAAATACATGCACCCACCTGTAGATATATTAATATATGTCAACCTGTGCACCTGAAGCATGTTAATCTATGCCTTGCCACCTTACCATATATTCCTACATAGATCTAGCATGTTTATTATAATGTAAAAATGTGCAATTGTATCAAATGCCATACAATTGTCTATTTTGAAATGCTTGCATTAGCTATTGTGGCATTGTGAGTTTGATGTAATTTTTTGCACTACAAAAATAAAGAATAAAAAAAAAAAGATATGTGCTTATGCTATTCTATCTCACAGAAAATCTTCTCCAATAAAAAAAATAAATATTGGAAATAGACTTTGATTTGTCAAATGAACTTGGTAACTACATTACTGTTCTAGAATCACCTAACAAAAATAAAACAGTGCAATTTGTTAGCAATTATTGGGTGCCAGCTAAGCATGTGTAATCTTCTAAACCCAAACAGAAATAAGACCATTATTGTAAAGAATAGCATCTAAGTACTACATTCTGGCTTGACCTGGATGATGTGTGAATTTAGACTATCTTACTCTGTATGTGGACATTTCCTATGAGTGACGGGAGCAAAATTATACATACCCAGGAAAAACCCTTTTAAACCTCGATATCGCAATGAATGAGAGTAGATCCTACATGTTTATATATTAATGTAATACGTTGTCATGTAAAACTAGCTCATGAATCAAATATCTGGAGGAAATGCAGAATAAGGCAAGAGAAATAATAAGTACTGCAAATACAGAGGTGTGGACAAGATGTTCTTTGAATTGTACATTAGAGCTCTCCAGTAATTATCTTGGCTAGTAGCCTGTTGAAGTCATGGAAAATGTTCTGAGAAGCATGAGTAATGGTATACTTTGTATTTCCTGCAGTTCTAATGATGGTCAAGCAGAAGTAGAAAGACTTGCAGTTTGATCCTTATTTTCATTGAGATGAGAGAACAGGAGCTGATGTCTATATAACTTCTGCAGGCTTTTGGGCAAAGTGCAGTATAGTTTAATGGGCTGAGAGCATACTAAGAGTCTGGAAATATTCGACAGTAATGAGTCAAAAAAAAACAACAGCAACATTCAACATCCAAGTCCAGAGTAAATATTGCAGGCAGCATTCAGCATCATTGAGTAACATATCGTCGCCATTAAACCAGATAGCCATCAGATACAGGAGAGAGTTATTATAAAGAGTGCACAACCATTATGCAAGGCCCCATAGCGAATATGTGGATGACATCTTTACAGGCTTAGCCTATATACTCACTGGATGTACTTTCATATAATAAAGCCTTACAATGAATGTGATCTTAAGTATAGCAGCAGCCAGTGAACAAGGGCATGCAAATATATGCATTGAAAAGAGGTAATAACTTACACAGAATCTTGGCATTATAAAATGATGCACATGGGGGCTATAATGCAATATTTTATTTAACTTATAAGTAAGAATTATGTCAGTTTTTCTTTCACAAGTAAAGCTATATAGTACTCAGAGGCATAGGCTGAAGGTCAGAACCTATTAAAATTAATGATATTTGAACAAAATGAACTATATGAACCATCAGTTTATGCAATATATCCCTCTTACTTGCCATGTAGTTAAATAAATATCAATTTACCTTATCATATCTCTCATCTCAATCCTCAATACACCTTGACTCAAAGGGGGATGGATCCAGTTGGAATGTCTGCAGACACATTTTTAGGGGGACATTCCTAGAGATTCACAACATGAATTGTTTGATTATTGTGTTTAAAAATCCCCTATAACTCACACATAATTAAAGCACTTACTTAATTTAGTTTTAATTCTCTGTACAAACATAAAGGGACAATCAAGGCATCATAACCATTGCTGCAGACTATAGAGGTTTTCATCCCAGCATTGCGTGCACCATTTGCCAGTTCTACGTAAATGTTTTCAAGCAGAGAGCAAAAAAATAATATTCACGGATATCATTTTTAATTTGTGGGGTAACAGCTTCTTGATTCAAAGAGAGATTTGACTGCCATCCTAGGGTCAAGAAGGAATTATTTTCTAGTATTTGGGATCTTTTGGATCAACAGCAAAAACAGATGTGAGAAAGGCTAAACTTGATGGCTGCATGTCTCTTTTCAGCTTTGTAACTACGTTGAGTGGCACCCAGATGCTTATGGCTATGATGGTCAAACTTACAAGTAGTTGAGTAACTTTGTATCTATATAGACACTCCTCACTTATGTCCCAGTCGTAGAACGAATTGGTCAGTAGGAGATAAGGGATTCCCTGCTTTGGTGCACTTGTCTATGTTCAGGGAAATGTCCCCGAACAGAGATGAACGCACCAGAGCAGGGAATCCCTCTAATCTATGTTTGGACAAATTTCCCCTAACATAGATTTAAGGGATTTCCTGCTCTGTTGCGCAAGTCTGTCTTCAGGGACATTTCCCCTGAACATAGACAAACACACAAGAGCAGGGAATCCCTCTAATCTATGCTTGGGTACATTTCCCGAACATAGAGTAGAGGGATTCCCTGCTCTGTTGCGTTCGTCTATGTTCGGAGAACATAGACAAACGCAGCAGGTCAGGGAATCCCTCTAATTCCCATGACGGCTCGCACTTACCACCCCGCAAGAGAGCTGGTTGTAAGTGCGAGCCGTCGTAAAACAGGTAGGTGGCAAAACAAGGACCACCTGTATATTTGCTAACCACGTACCCAACACAATGTATGGAAGGTTTGCTATTTCATGTTCTTTAAAACTGACAAGTCATGTTACTTGTGGCATTCTGTAGCTCTGCAGAGCTTATATGTTAAGCACAAGGGTTTATGGGATTTGTAGTTCAAATCTCATCTTTCTACTGTACAAAGGAAACTGAAATAAAACCCCAAGGGCATTAATGGTTTTGGAAGAAAAAAAGGAAAAATTTTCTTATGGAGAAAAAAACAATTGGTTGTTTTTATTTTTAAATAAAGATTGATTCATACATAATAAAAAAAAACACCCAGAGTAACTAACTATAGCAGTACTTATGGCTACTGACGCCTCATCCCAATATCGACTAGGCATTCCTTCCGTGGAGTTGTATGGATGTAGCATCATGGGAATGCTCACACATCATGGGAGACACAGTGATTTGCAACGTAGCTTGTCAAAAGAAAACTTCAATAAACCATAAATATTGCAGGGTTATTCACTAAAATTAGAATTTAAGGTGAATTCAGACAATTTCAAGTTCAAGGTGAAAATAGGCAAACTGGAAATATTCTCTCAGACAGCTATGCTTTCAGTTCATCTACTCATTTAAAGGACCACTATTGTGCCAGGAAAACATACTCGTTTTCCTGGCACTATAGTGCCCTGAGGGTGTCCCCACCCTCAGGGTCCCCCTTCCGCCGGGCTCTGTGGAGAGGAAGGGGTTAAAAATCTTACCTTTCTCCAGCGCCGGGCAGGGAACTTTCCTCCTCCTCTCCTTCTTCCTAGCAACGTCATCGGCTGAATGCGCATGAGCGGCAGGAGCCGTGCGCGTATTCAGCCAGTCTCATAGGAAAGCATTCAGTTTCTCTGAAACTGCTATGTTTATTAAAAAAAAAGGGTTAATCCTATCTGGACCTGGCACCCAGTCCACTTCATTAAGCTGAAGTGGTCTGGGTGCCTATATTGGTCCTTTAATAAATAAACCTGTCAGTGTAAAAAAACAACCCACCTTAACTTGTGCAGTAGCCCTGTAACAAAGTGATCCCCTTTAAATGAGCACATGCTAGGGATCAATATTCCTGCTCTATGTTACATGTCGTATACATTATCTCACTGTAGCTTTCACTGTATTTTATCTGCTGAACAGGTTAACGTGCTGATATCATGCTGACGTAATGCTGAAATATGTCTCGTCCGTCCAGATTGATATATGGAAAATGAGCAGATGCACTCTCTAGCTAATCAGGCTGAGACTCAGCAGGATAGCTACAATCTCTGCTGGCGTTCACCTCCCTTCATAGAGTTTAATTAAAGAGCTTTCTGCTTGCTTTTGTTTAATCTGCTGCCAGAGTTTCACTATTGTGGCATCTCTTTTGGATAACTAACAATTGTTCCTGATAATCTAATGAGAAAAACCTGCAGAGGGTACACAGGATGGTTTAGAAATAATTTCCCAATTTTTCAAATATAAAAAGTATTTATTTTCCATTTACCACCCCAGTTCTGTGGATAGGAGAGTAGACAGATGTGTTTAGAGTCAACCATGCGCCCTGTCAGAATAATAATGTCAGAATAATACGACAACCAACATTCTAAGTGCTGCACAGAATCGTTGGTAAGACTTGTTCTACGAGGCCACATTTTTTTCCCATGCTCTGCAAACTACAAACTGTCTGGAGAAGGAATAAAACTTAAAAAACATCAGAAGAGCAAAGGTTGAAATCTTATAATAATGTCTTTGCACCCTCTCATACTCTTGAATTTAATTTCAATGAATATTTTCATCAATGGC